CTTTTACAACTGGTCTCCAGCTGACAGAGATCAGCTCCCCTGGAGAAAATGGCTGCTTGGGAAGGTGGACTCTGTGGCATCGTACCATGCTGAGGCCCCAAAATGGCTGCTTGGGAGGGTGGACTCTGTGGCATCGTACCATGCTGAGGCCCCTCCCCTCCCCAAACCCCGCCCTCTCCCGGCTCCACCCCCAAAGTCTCCAGGTATTTTCCAACCTGGACTTGGGAACCCTACTTCAGTGGCACGGCCTACTAGGGTTCCCAAGTCTAATCGACTTACCGGTGGGGGAGTGTCGCCGGGCTCTGGGAGCTCTCGTCCGACGCGTGCGCGCCAGCACGTCCCGGAAGTGACGCACTATGTCGATCATGTTGGGGGCGTGGCCCCAATCGCTGGAGGGAAAACCATAGAGTTCGCCCTCCGACAATTGGGGCCACGCCCCCAACGTGATCGACGTGGTTGCGTCACCTCTGGTGACGCAGCCACGCTGCGCTTTGGGGCGCGGAGTTCTCCCCGGGGCCCGATTCCGTGGCAGCGGAAATCAGGCCTCCAAAGCGGGGGTTTACCTCCCCCCCCTGCCCCCACTTGGCAGCCCTACAGCCTACAGGCTCTAGGGAGGCCTAGTGGCTCCAGAGAAGCCTGTACTGGAGTAGCTATCAGGGCCTACATTTCCCAGGTACCCTCTGGACCCTGTGATTGGTTAACAGGGGTTTTTGGAGGGAAAACGTATACCAGTGGAGGAGTAGAGGGTGTGTTGCCTGGGAAGAAGGAATAAAAGGCCTTGTCTAGAGTGGGAGGGGGGTTCTCTCCCAGGGAGCAGGGCTGGTGAGGCTGCTGCAGAAGGAGGAGGGATCCCTCATCCGAAAGGGGTGAGTCGGCCTGAGACCAGGTACCTAGAGCAGGCTAGGACAGTCTAGTCAGAAGCAGTAGGATTTCTTATTCTGTTGGTTTACCCTCCTTTACTGTGCTCATTTTAATAAAACTAGTTTGGTACTCTGCCTGGGCCCTCATGCCTCATTTGGTCACGTATAAAGGGAAACCTACTGAAAAAGGCATATATAAAGGGGTAAGGTGAGTGCTCCGGAACCTCCCGAGGAGACCCATACCAGAGTGGTGGCAGCCATTAGAGAAGGAGAGAAGAGATTGGATTTATGCCCCGCCCTTCACTACCCAAAGGTGTCTCAGAGCGGCTTACAAACTCCTTTCCCTTCCCCTCCCCACAACAGACACCCTGGGAGGCGGGTGGGGCTGAGGGAGCTCTCTCGAGAACTGCCCTTTCAAGAACAGCTCTGACAGAACTGTGGCTTGCCCAAGGTCATCCAGCAGGTGCAAGTGGAGGAGTGGGGAATCAAACCCGGTTCTCCCAGATTAGAGTCCACACACTTAACCACTACACCAAACTAGAGAAACTTTCTAGCCGCTGCCCACAACAGGCACTTAGCTGTGGGGTGCTTTTATCCCCAGCAGCGGCAGGCAGAGGACAGACTACAGTATAGGGCTTCTTCTTCCCAGGGAGCTCTCCTGCTGCAACTGCTGGGAATGAAAGCCTTGCCTTTCAACTGCTTGAGACGGAGGCAGCCCCATCCTGGCAAATAGCCACAGGGGGCTCCATTCCCCAGCAGGAAGAGGAACCGGCAGCATGAACACATGAAGCTCCTTCGTATGAGCCCTCTGCAGAAGACCTGTCTGTGCGTTGACCCACTGGGTGGGGATGGAGGGTGGGTACGAGCACACTGACCCCATCCCTCACCTCTGCACGACTGCCGAGTGATCCGCATGGTGCAAACTCAGGGAGGAAGTGGTCACGCATACGCCCCATCGCTGTGATCAATGACTCTGCTTTCCCAATGCTGCTGATCAAGGTAAGAGGGTGTTCAGAAAGCAGCGGCGGCGACCACGGAGAGGGGGGGGTGCATGCACGAGTACTTTCTGCGTGTGCTTGCACTGGGCAGAGGACTGTGCAATCACGTGGAAGTGGGGAGACCGGAGCCAGCGTGCTCATGTCCATGCTCCGTCCCTGCACAGTGACTCAACGCACAGAGAGGTGATCTGCACTGAACCACTGACTCAGACCCTTGACCTATCACCAGGGCTATTTTGGGGCAGGAACGCACAGGAACGGAGTTCCGGCTGGCTCCCAAGTTGGCCACACCCAGCAGGAACTCATTAGCATAACAGGCCACACCCAACAGCAGAAACTCATTAGAATTGGCTACATTAGGGGTGTGTGGCCTAACATGCAAAGGAGTTCCTGCTACAAAAAAAGCCCTGGACCACAAACAAGGTAAACAGAATAAGAAGCAAAAGGTCGGTGTGGCTGGATAACCACACCTCTGGTTACATGGGGGTCCGGCCTAATGTGCTAATGAGTGGAGCAGTAAGGGGTGTGGCCTAATATGCCAATGAGTTTCTGCTGTTGGGTGTGGCCTATTATGCTAATGAGTTCCTGCTGGACTTTTTCTACAAAAAGAGCCCTGCCTATCACTATTGGCAGCTTTGACTGCCCAAAGGTCTCCTGGGTCTAAAGATCTTTCCCGTCACCTACTACCTGGTCCTTTTTAACCGGAGATGCCAGGGATTGAACCTGGGACCTTCTATATGTAAAATGGATGTTCTACCACAGAGCCCTGGCCCCAGTAGCTGAGCAGCCAGCCGATGGCTATAATATGTACCGGTGCTCGATTAACTTTTCTGCTACAATTGCATGTACTAGGGTTGCCAAGTTGAAAAATCTCCTTACCGGGGGACTCCCGGTCTGCAGCTGGATCGTGCGCGGGGGGAACCCCACCCCGGCGTGCGCGTCACCAGGAAGTGACGTTATGAAGGCGGGCACGGATGACCGTGGCCCCACCCCCAGTGTGCCCGGCGTCATAACGTCACTTTCTGGTGACGCGCACGCCGGGGTGGGGTTCCCCCCGGGGCCCGATCTGCCGGTGGCGAGAAACGGGCCTCTGGGGCGGGGGTTT